GGGCGGGGGGCGGCGAGAGCAAGGGACTAGAGCGAGAGGGAGAGAGAGAGGCTCGCTGCAATATTCACAGGGCCACAGGGGCCCAGCCAGAGTAGTGAAAGGGAAGTGGGGGAGCTCCCGCGCCGCCCCGCCCCACTCCCCTCGCCACCACCAGGACCAATGGGCGTCGCGCTGCCGCGCCGCCCCCCGCGCCCGCCCCGCGCCCCTCTGCCCCGCGCCATGCGCCAGCACTCTCCACGTGCCGCTGGGTCGGCGTCCGCGGAGCGACGCCTCGTGCCGTCCTCGTCCCCCTCACGGCGTCGGCGCGCTGCGTCGCGGCGCTCGCCCGCTTCGGACTCGTCCTAGATCATCAGGCGCAGAGGGGCGGGGAGCGGCGGGCGCGGGGAGCCGCGGGGGAGGCGCTGCGCGTGCAGGCGCGGCGGCAGGGCGGCGGGCAGCAGCGCGCGGGCGCGGGGCCACAGGGCGCTCAGCTGGAGTCGCGGAGAAGACAAGTCGCGCGCGCGGGCGGTTTGCGCGGAGCGACCCACACTCGAAGCGCTGCAGCCCGCCCCCTTCACCACCGCGATTAGCTTTGCGGATGTACACACGTCACACTGTAACTTTAAAAAAAATATAAGCAGCTTTGAACTGAAGTTGAATAGACGTTTAGAAGGGAATGACCACAAAAAAAGAGATGTATCAAGCTACTGACACATCATGTCAGCGACTCATACCGATATCTTCTACACAAATATATCTCATTTACTATGTTAGATTTTTTTTTTTCAAATAATGTATTCCATTGTGCAACTTTCAGCTTATAACTTGGCGCCTGCGAACCGACGATAGGCAACACTGCCTCACAGGCGTGTCAAACTGGCATGCCTACCCGCAGACCCGCAGCCGTTCACCAACTTACCTTTTATTTTACTTTCGCAGTAAAACCTCTGTTTCGAGTTTTTTTTTTTTTTTTTTTTTTTGTGCTTTTGGTAGGTATAGGAATTTAAGTTTACTTCCTATGCCTCTCACAAGTACCTTCGTGGGTCTTTTTTTTCTTATTCACAGTAGGTCGCAGGGAGGTTGGTCATTTTCACTCAATATCGCATATTGTCAAATTCAAATCGCGTCGCGCGAACACCATAGTTCATGGCGCTCCCTGGCGGTCTTCCCTGCGAAGTTCTGAGTCGAGAGATCGAAAACACTACAAGGCTCCGCCGTCGCCCATCCCACTTTTTACGTGCGCGCCCCGTTCGGTATTTTGTGCGCGATGAATCAAGCCCCAGTGTCTTGCATACCCAGCCCGAAGATGTCGAAGGCCAAGAAGGTGCTGGACGAGGCTCGTTCCTCTGGAAATCCAGAACTGGATCTCATGGAAAAGGGAATCTCTTCGTTTGAGGAGATGCCAGGGCTTCGTAAGTATTCTGGGAACGGAAGCTATGCCCAAATTTGGCAAGTGGAGGTCTTTGAGAGGAGCTCAAAGGCAGAGCTGTCAAAGAGTCTGAAGTTGGTCGTGGGCGGGCCACCTGTTTTTGACACATGCACATGAGACCATGTCTGTTAAGTCATTAACAAGCCTTTGACATAAATTCGATCAGTCTCCTACAAATTAAAGGCTGAGTTAACACCCAATTAAAATGAAGTCAGAATACAAATGCCATAACCTCCCTTCTCAATGTAAACAAAATATTGAATTTTAACTTTTTGTCCTGAAGTTAAAGTCTGGAAATTTACATTGTATGTCATCAGTAGATCACAACATACTAAGGACAGACTCGTTTGATTTTATTGCAAAATCTCCCTCAACTAAAACAATTTCTGAAATTACTCGGCTCATACTTTTTAACCTGCATTTCAGTGAATATGTCAAATATTACAAGACTGACTTTGAGTCACAACAAAATAATTGGTGAGTAAAGTTGTGCTTAACAGTATATATGACACTTATATCATTTGACAACAATAGATGTTATAAGGATGACTTTAATTAAATTTATGATTTTTCACCTTATGTTATCACACAGATATTCCACCTGGTTTGGCCAATCTTGTGAATCTGGAGATATTGACTCTTTTCAATAATCACATAGAGGAGCTCCCAGTATCTCTATCCTCTATGCCCAAACTACGCATCCTCAATCTGGGGTCAGTTGGTAGAATTTTACTTGCATATGCTCGTCTTCTTTAGTTGTGCTTAAAGTTTTTTGTTTTTTTTCTTTTTTGCTCCCAGGATGAATCGCTTAAACTCCCTCCCACGGGGGTTTGGAGCTTTTCCTGTTTTGGAAGTCCTTGATTTGTCATACAACAATCTGAATGAAGAAAGCTTTCCTGCAAACTTCTTTATTCTTGGTACATATGTTAGCTCATTATATCCAGCTCATTACATGTTCCATTTTTCTTTACTCATTATTTCTTATTTCAGACACATTGCGGGCTTTGTATTTGGGGGACAATGATTTTGAGTTCATCCCACCTGAAATTGGACAGTTGAAAAATCTCCAAATTGTAAGTCCTTAGTGAAAACTCCTTCATATTTTTCTATCTTCCTGAAACTCTTCAGTTTGAGTGAATCACAACCAATTTTTTTTTCAGTTGGTCCTTAGAGACAATGACCTTATTGAACTCCCCAAAGAAATAGGAGATTTGACCCGTTTGCGAGAATTGCACATTCAAGGAAATAGACTGACAGTTCTTCCACCTGAAATAGGTTTGTTTCAAGGTTGATCTATAAGGGCTCTAATTAATCAGAAAATACTTACTAACTTTATCTCCACTACAGGCCAGTTGGATCTGGTGAGCAACAAATCTGTTTTGAAAATGGATTACAATCCATGGGTTGCACCAATCGCTGACCAGCTTCAAGTTGGGATATCCCATGTTATTGATTATATTAGGTCAGAGACATACCGCTAGTAAGTGTCTTCAGTTTCAGTGATAAAGTATAGTTGACTTGTCTGTCTGTTGTTGACATGGTTTCTTATTCCCTTTTGTTTTCCAGTTTGTTTAGTCGTCACATCTCTGTCAGAGGACCACCACCCCCTAAGTACATTGACAAGACTAATAAGCTGTCTAGAAACAGAAAAAGCAACTGAAAAAACTATCTTGAGAAAACAAAACTATAATTTATTTTTATTTAACATATTTCTTTCACTGTTCATTCATGTTGAGGGGCAATTCTTCTTGCTCTTGCTTAACAGACAGGGGTATGAATACGTACCTCTCAAAAATTCAAGTTTAGAAATTATCAGTGATTACAAGTTTTATTGCTTGTATTCTAATTATTGTTGAGACTAAACTTAGTGTAGAACAATAATTTAATCTGTTATCACTGCCTCTTGCTACTGTAGCTCTTCCTTAGATTTTAAGTTATTAATAACTAGTCCAATTACATATATGGAGGAGCTTTTTCACATTTTCCCATATTGTTAACCTGAAGTATATTTTTTAACAATTATACCGCAGTAGGTTTGCTTTTAGAACCGACTAACTTGAATGTGAACAAGCATAAGTCTTGTTATAAGATACCTAAAATTTTATTCTTGTTGCAATTTTTTATACTGAACCATGAACTATGTGTAATTTCATAAAAATCTATTATTTGTTGATGTGTGTTTTTAGTATAGTATATGTAACTGCTTCAAAGATTGCCTGTATTTTGTATTTTGGTAAAAGTGCTACTTTATAATTCTTTTGTTAAAAAAAAAACAATTTTTAATGTCAGCTTTTAACAACTTAAGTATTCATCAGAAATGAATACCAAAATCACAGGGTAAAACAAAACTAAAAAGACTCGCAAGTACATAACAAAACTACCTAAGTGTTAAAAGAAACTAAAATATATTCATAAAAATTGAATTTTGAAAAAAATTAAAATTTGTCTTGAAAAGAAATTCCTCTCCCCTTCACTCTTCATCCCTGGGATATACTTCAAGATCTAACAGGAAGACCAAGCTTTTGGGTTGATCTCCATCCTGTAACTATGGGTCAAGGAGCTAATGCAAACTCAGTGCCGACTGGTAAGTATGTTTCCATTCTCATACACGGATTCCTACTTACATGCCTAGTGATACCAACTAATCCATCTACTTCCCCAAAGTATTCTCCCCTCAGGGAAACAGCAATGGTTTGGAAGTTTTCTTTCATTTGAGATAGGTACCTTACAACCTTTCCAATATTTGTATTGTCAAGAGCAGCATCTACCTCATCTAAAATAAGACATGGGGTAGATCCATACCTGCCCATCAAAATATACTTGTTACCTAACTTGAAAAAAAAACAAAAAACGCAAAGAAACAAGAATTGCTGAAAGACAGGAATGGACTTACTGATGAATTGCCAAAAGTAAAGCAAGAGATGCAATTGTTTTTTCTCCCCCGGACAGGATTTCCATTGGCTTACACGCCTTCCCTGGTACAATACAATCATATCGCACACCACTCAAATATGGTTCCTCGGGATTTTCAGCAGATATCAATGCCATAGCAGAGTTCGATTGTGTTATTCCCTACAAGATATGAACCACTCTTTCATGGCATATTAACAAGTATTAACAGAGAGAATATTGAGTAAAGTCTGACGTACCTTGTAAATACTATCAATTTTTTCTGACACAAAATCAAGAAGGTCCATGTACTTATCAAACCGTTTTCTTTTTATCCTTTCAAAGTTTTCTGCTATTTGTTTGGCCTTTTCACGAGATTCCTTGCATTCAACAGCTGTTTCTCTTAACTTTTTACTAGTCTCATCAAGTGTTTCCTCTGCCTGAAATAAATGAATTAAAACACAATGTTACAGATTACATCATGATTAAGACTAACAACAAAAAAGCACACACTGCAAAAGTATTACCCTCAAGTTTGGCACTTTCAATGAACCCAGTTTCTTGTGTAGGGAAAGCACTGCATGTTTTAGATTTTCTTCATTTTCCTTTACTATTTCCTCATCAATATTTTTTAAATTATCAGGAAGATCACCATAGTCAATAACTATGTCTGAACTAGAGAAAGAGAGAGTACACTATAAGTATTGCTGAAAATAAAATAAAATGAAATGAAATGAGGGAAATACATACGCAGTGCTTGAAGTTTCAGACGTGGATTCTGATCTACCCGCAGCAAGAGATTCCAAGTCCCCCTGCAGTAGCGGTATGACAATACCTTCTGCCTGAAGTATCATTGTGTAAAAAATATGTTATTCACTAGATTGAATTTAATATGTACAGAATTGATTGTCTCAATCAAAAGCAATGAAAGACTCACTTTACAATCGATGAGCAGCAAACGGCGTGCATTAATGAGTCTTTCCATTTCTGATTCTACCGACAGAAGCTCTTGTTGAAGAGTATGCACAGCCTCGCATTTTGATTTCATTATTTTTTCCAGCTTGAGGTGATAAAACAGAAATTAAAATTACAAATTTATATCAAAATTTTGGTCAAGACAAAAGCTTTACCTCATGTTTTGCTTGTTTTGCAGAAGCAACTTCTTTTTTCTGGTTTGCAGCTTGTTCTTTGTATTGTTCTAATTCACTTTGGTCAGTTGCAATAAAACTGTCATGTTCTTCAATAGCCCTTTGTGCTTTAGCCAAGGCTTCCAGACGAATCTCAACTTCATCGCTCCACCGTTTGATATTGGCCTCTGTATCCACAGTCTTTTGGTATTCAATCTCATTCTGAATACGAGTCTTGCGTTCTTCAAACTCCATGCGAGCTTCCAGTCTTTCTTTTTGAGACCTATAGTAGTTTAAAGCACAAGATTAAAAATACACAACCATACAAACATTCAAAAGAATAATTTTAAGAACCAATCTAGAAAACAGTACCTTAGCCCTCCTTCCTCATAAGCCCTTATGTTCGCCACACCAATGTTCTGACAAAACTGGCCAAAAACATCATCTTCTATAAACCGAAGTTGTCTATCCAACCTCTTTATTTCGACATCACGAATTTGAATCTCTCTCTCAGCTTCCGTAATTTGTGGCTATTTTTTTTTTATTTTCGAAAAGAAAAAAAAATTGATTTTAGTACGTGGTTGAAAAAATTAAAAGATAAATGCAGATAAAGACGTACAAATTTTTTAGTTAATTTGAGATTTAATTTCCATCAAGTAGGTTTAACAGTTACCTCCAAATCTTGAAGCTTCATCTGCAGTTCATGCAGTGTCATGTCAACTGAAGCAATCTTAGATTTCTGGCAACCAAGAAATCAAATATTTAAAAAATAATAAATAATCAATCATGAAGTAAGAACATTGACACTAGTGGAATTTAACACACTTACTGTTTTCTCAACGTCAGTCTTCATAACAGCAATCCTTGTATTGTATCCCTTAATTTCCAAAGAAACATTTGACTCAGATTCCAAGCGTATTTGCTTAGCTAAGCTTTTGAGGCTCTCAGTGAGATGTTCCTAGTCAAGATATGTTTGTAATGAAACAAAACATATTATTTGTGTTTGTATTTTTAAATCAAAGGCAGATTAGAAACTATATGTATATGAGTAATACCTTTCTCTCTTTCAATTGGTTCAGTAGCTTCTCATCCCATTGCTTTGATTTCTGCACAAGATGGTTCATTCCACCCGAAATTAGCCCACTCTTTTGATAATATATGCCATCCAATGAAACCACCTAAGACACAGCTCTCTTAAAATAAACATCATGCAATTTTAAAATCAATTAAAATAAAGGAGAAAAACACATACATCCAGTTGTCTATCTGGGTATGTTTCATAGGCAACTTGTGAAGCTTCTTTATCTGTTTCACAAACCAAAACACTCTTAGTAGCAAACACAACTGCTTTTTTAATCTCCGAAGGATTAAACCTTATTACATCATAAACTAAAGAGGCTCCCTTTATGCTCCTTAAGGCATCTCGGATAGGTTTGACCTGGGATATATGTAAAAGTTGAGTTAGTTTTCTCTTTTTTTCTTTTTGATTAAAATTGAACTACTAGACCAACCTCAATATAATCCAAGGGCAAAAAAACTTCAGGTTGCATCATCTGTGCTTTGAGAAATTGTATGCACAAACGAGCAGTTGTCTCCTTGTCCACAACAATTGCATCAACCCATTTACCCATTACTTTGGTTAATGCTATTTTATACTTTGAGTGAATTGGCTCACACAAATTTATCAGTCTATCATACTAAAATTTTTAGCAAGTAGGAAACAAACACATAACAGTTAATGACAAAATATAACAAAAAGTCAGTATAGAATATGCTAATGAAAGGAACATACTACGCCGGGGTACAAGTCCTTCAGTTTCTGCATAACTTTATACTTCCTATTCAGATCACTATGTTCATTTCTGTCTGATTGAGCATCTCTCAGTTCAGAGAGTACTTCATTCAATTCATGTTGCATCTCATCCATTTGACGTTTAAGTACAGTAATATCAGTAGCAGAGATAGAACGTTCCTTCAGTTCTTCAAGTTCCTTCTCATTGGAACTGAAACAAAAAAGTTTCTGTGACAATATGAAAATTTATAAAAGCATTGCATTCTGAGATAGTCATGTTATTAAATTACAGAATATGAGCAGAAATCTTCTCTAAACGTTTTATTTCCTCTTCTTTCTCATGTTCCCTCTGTTTGATTTTAATTTCAAGTTCAGTGTATTTCCTCTTCTTACAGTCAATCTGATCTTGGGCTGCTCTAAGTTCTCTTGTTAGGGTTTCCAATTGTTGTTGGATAGAAACTGATGACCTGATAGCTTGCCTTTTCAGCTCATTGTACTCATCAGCCTGGAAAAATGATATTGCTTAGCAAAACATTGAAAAATGCTTGTGAGCATATTTTAGACCTCACCTGAGATTGTTCGAGTTCTACATCTCTGCCTTGGCTAATGCTCTCTTCAGCAATTTGATTTTCATAACTCTGTTGTTCTGCCTCAACTTTAGACAGCTCTCTCCCTAGACTTTTCATGATGTCTGCATGCTTTTCATGAGCTTTCTGAGCCTGTTGCAATGACAGTTGGGCTGTTGAGATTTTTTTACCAATGTGTGACAATTGCTCTTTATCTTTTAGGAGCTTTGGGAGCTTCTTATTTATTTCTTTTTCCTATGAGAAGCAAAATAGAAAATTCCATTAAAAAAAAATCTGTCATTAATCAAGCCTTAACTGAAAAGTAAAACTTATAAATAATACCTTTTCTTGAACTTGATCCTCCATCGAAGCTAATGCCCTTTCTGCAACTCCAAGGGATTTCTTTGCTCGTTTCAATTTGGCTTCATCCGCTTTCTTGGTGGATTTTTCCTCTTCTAATAGTTTATCTTTCTCAGACTTCTTCTCTTGATGTATCTTATAAGCTTCATCAATATGAAACAATTTAAAAAGTCTGAGTAAAGTGGTCTTGTCAACCTAGGAATGAATTAAGTTATGACATTAATCCTCGAAAGTCATGTAGAACAAAGTAATAGAAAAAGTTGCAACAAGCAACTAACCAGATCTTTTGAAAGCTGTTCGAAGTTTTGAGCCTCCTTCCTCATGAGTTTAGCATCTTTATATTCATTTTTGAAGGTACGTTGCTTAACAAAATTTGATTGTGTCTCACTGCCTATATTACTCATTTCAACTTTAAGTTGCTCATATTCTTTCTTGTATTCATTAGAACTGAAAATAAAATTTACAACATGCAACATGAAATTGTGTAGACTAGAGTTGTGTAATTTAACACCTACCCACTAATTTCCTCAAACAAGGCTGTTCTTTCCTTTGCATTCATTACAGCAATTTCTTCAACTCTTCCTTGATATACAAAAAAATTTTTGCCTTTTACATTGATTCCTAAGTTTTTAAGTTCACTCAAGTATCTTCCCAAAGAAACAGCCTGAAACATAGAAAAAATAAGTACATTTGGCATCATGCTGTACTGACATATTCCTCATCGATTACCTCTCCATTAAACAAGTACTCCTGAGCTGACCTTGAGGCCAAACGTCTGAATTTGGAAAAGGTCCCATCATCATGTTTAAATACAACTGTGACATATGCACTGAAAATTACAAGACAGATAAAATAAAATCATGAAATCAATGGGGGCAATTGCCATTCAACAAGTGTCTGACAATGCAATAAATAGGTCTTTGAAGTCAATAGATGAATTTTCAAACTAATTGAATGTAAACCAGAGATTCCACTAAAACATAGATTGAAAAAATAAATGCTGACTATTGAATGCAGTAATGGTTGGTGACACCGAATGAATAAGAGGACTTGGATGTGAGGAAAGGTGAGAACTGTGGCTAGTACTAACTTCTTTGAGGCCGGTTTTCCAGTAGCTGCTTTGTGAATTAGCTCACCCGGTCTATTGACTCGCAATTCGTCGATTTTGGCTCCGAGAGCGAATAATATGGCTTCGAGAAAATTAGATTTGCCTGAAGAAAAAAGAGGTCAAAATTATGTCTTTACTAGGCGTGGGCCGATATGTGCTGATTCGGAACCTCACTTCTAATCTGGAGAATAAGGACTTACCTGTGCCATTGGGTCCTATAACCGACATAAAAGATTTCAGAGGGCCAACTAATACTTTCCCCCCATAAGTCTTAAAATCTTTCAGCTCAACCTGGTGCAGTATGGCCCTCATGGTCTCTTTTGGACGGTGAAACGTGCACACCGCAGTCAAATAGAGCTGTAGCACTAACGAATTGTGTGGTCCGTTGCGCGCAGTCAAACATCCGACATTCAAATCGGCGGCAGTGCAACAGTGACAGGATGGCCAACATCCGCAAATGGGTATTCGTGCCGTTTTAATTTTCTCTGATGATTCGACCGCTTAACTAGTTTTAACGCTTCACATGCCAGTTTGAACATCGTTACGGTTGAGTGATGCCGAAAGTAGCAAAATCACTTGTAATGTAAACTCTTCCGTTCTGAGGTTGGCAAGAGGAATTGGGGGAAAGTTTAAAAACAAAACACTGATATCAATGGTTCGAAGTTCAAAAATTCAAATGATCTGATGGATCTGATTGAAAAAGGCATTTAGTTTAAGATTTTATACGGACTTACGGAAGTGTCGGGAACATACCTGAGCAATGATCGACTTCTTTACTTTAACTGTCATTTCCATCCAAGGGGAGTGGTGATGGGTGATGCCAGTTTGATGGAGCCAAGGGTGAATGCGCAACTGAAGAAGCGAAGGCTCAAGTACATCGTAGACAAAAAGTAATTTATTATTATTCATAATCATGGCAAAATAAAATAATACTATAACCTATACATTGAAGAATGATCTTACAAATCCACAGCATGAAATATAATGTACTGTAACAAAGTACAAGGTGTTCTTTTTACTATGAAGTACTACTTCAGAACTAAGTTTTACTAATACATGAGGAAAAATATGTACATTACAGGCTGTCAACTAACCAACTAACACAGAAACCTTAAATTAAGTCAATTATTAGGTACATGATGCACTCAACAAATAAAAGAATATGCAATGGGTCATTCATGAAAAAACCCTATAAAAGATAACAATTCAGAAACATTAAGAACTAAGAACTTTCAATAATAAAACGAAACTATGAAATCAAAAGGGTAAAACATCCCTGCAACATAATTACAGAAATCAATATAAAAATTAGTGCAAATTATTTACAGATATTGCAACTGCCTCATTTGAAGACATACTTAATTAGGCATCCATGCAAACTGCCTCAAAGTATCTCCTGAATTAACTCTCACCAAATCCACAAAAAAATAAAGAGATAATCAAATCGTCTGTGTGATGGGGTTGGACTTGTGTATTGAAATTCACTAGTTTGATTTCCTTTTAGAAGATCGCAGTATCTTCTTACTATGCCCTTCAACATTTGTTGAGGGCTCATCGTTTTGTCAGCGTTCACTCTCATCAAGATGTGTTTGGAACTGGGTCAAGTCAAATGTTAAAACTTTGCTGACAAGGCATTCACCAGCCTGTAATAGAGCAAAATAAATTGAGACAATTGATAGCAGTCAACAGTCAATCTGTAAGAAGTTTCTATAAAAAATATATGCTTACATCTGGGCAAATACCAATGAGGGCATCAGCATGGCTGTAAAACTCTTCCTTCAGTGAAATAACAATGGTCTGCAACGATGATGTTTTCTCTCTGATGTAACTTGCAACTTTTCCAATGTTTGTATTGTCTAGCGCTGCATCAATCTCATCCAACACAAAAAATGGAGCGGGTTGGTAGCTTTAGAACATGAGAAATAGTGAAAGTTTGTTATTGATTTAGCACACACTTCTACACTTAAACTCAGATAATTCCTTACCTATGGATAGCAAACAAAAGTGCAAGAGCAGCTACAGTCTTTTCACCACCAGACAAATTACTCATGGGCTGGAAACGTTTTCCAGGGGCAACACAATTGTAGTTAATGCCATCTAGGTAAGGTTCTTCTGGGTTTTCAGGTCCAAGGAAGGCTTGTGCAGATTGATTTTTAGCCAAATGCTGTAATAGATACCAGACAAAATTAAATCAATTGACTGAATTCAAAACCTCTATTGAAGTGAGAACAGATAAATTTTAGATTCTGCTCTTTACATACCTTGTAGATGCCATCAATTTCATTTGAAACATGTTCAAAGCAATCCATGAACCGATCATGACGATCCTTCTTAACCTTTTCAAAAGATTGTTTGGTCTTCTTAGCTTTCTTACGAGCTGTGTCAAACTCCTCATTTGTTTCTTGGAGTTTTTCTCTAGCCAAATCAAGTTTTTGCATCGCCTACAATCCAAGAAAATGTAAAATCAACATTGAAGCGCTATCAGTCATAATGTTCTAATGCAGAATGTGAGTTAAGTTTTTACCTTCATATTTGGCGCCTGGATTCTTTGAATAGTGTCCATAAGACTGTTGATAGCTCTTTGTAATTTATCTCCACGTTTCTTAATTTCATCAGCTTCATCAAGGTCTTTGTAATCATCATTTAGTTGGCGATAATCTAATTGGATTCTGAAAGGGAAAGATATTGTGCATTGTAACAATGGTATTGCATACATCCTACCGGATTGTATAAATTTAGTGCCCAGAACATTTTTACTTAGAACATCCGGTAATTGATTTGATTATAATACATTGTACTTCTGCAATACTTTACCTGCTTTCTCTGTCATACATCTGCTGAGTAGTGTTCATTGAAGTTGCAGCACTGCTTGTATCTTCAAATGTGTCTCCACCTTCAGCTGCAATATCTTCCATGTTACCCCTGAGCATAGGTATCACAATATCTTCCATCTTGAAGAAAAAAGGGAAAATAAACGTTAAATGATAGTTTCTATTAATGACCCAGTGAAACTAAATTTCACAACAATATGATTTTGCTAACCTTGCATTGTTTTAACAGTGAATGGCGTTCTGCTTTACGTTGCTCAACTTTGGATTCAAGGCTTGTAACTTGCTTTTGAGCTGCTTGAATATCTTTGGCGATTGCACCTACTTCTCTTCTTGCCTAGAATGATGCAAAGTAAATGTCATTTTTTGTTACCCTTTCTAATGAAGTAAATTGATCAAACATGCAGTAATTACCTTTCCAATAAGTTCATCAAAAGCATCAACTTCACTCTTTTTGTTTAATCTTTCAGCTTTCAAACGGTCTAGCTCTCTCATGTCCTTGTCAATTTCCTGAAGTTGCTTCTGCTCAGCTTGTTTAGCTGACTCCAAAGCATCTTCATCGTCTTGAACAGCTCTCTCCCAGCGTAGAACATTATCTAAAATTCACATACAATTTCAGGTCATATAAGGGTGTTTCTAAGAAAATAAAAGATTAGAGGAATGTGTACTATTTTACCTTTGGTGTCTCGGGTCTTCTCAAAGTCCAGCTGATTTAGAATGCGATTCTTCTGATCTTCATATTCCATACGGCGTTTAGCTCTTTCCTGCTGGGTTCTATAATAAAAAGAATACTAAACTTTAAGAGTGTACAAATAATGTTAAGTCTAGTGCCTAGGTACTAGAACTGAAGGGGAGATAAGAGATAACAATGAATATAGAGTGAAACAAACCTTAACTCCCGCTCTTCATACTGTCTGATGTTGGCAACACCAATTGAGGCGCAGAAGTCAGCAAATACGTCATCTTCAACAGAGTTCAACTTTTCCTTCAGTTGATCAAGCTTCCTATCACGTACTTCCATGGAATGTTCAATCTCATCAATTCTTGGCTATAAAAAGGTTGATTCATTATCAATAGTGCTTTTCAAAAATAGGCAGTAAATGGAAGTACCAATGAAAGATCAACTCACCCCATATTCTTCAAGCTGTGTTTTCAAGGTCTGAAGTTCTCGGTCCAGATCATCGATTTGTTTCAGCTACACATAAATTATTAAAGATTTAAAATACAGACCATCTTAAATATAAATCTACTTTACAAATAAATGTAATTACTAACTGTCTTTTCTCTATCCCCTCTGGAGAACTTTAGTCTTGTTTCCAATCCTTTAATTTGGGAGTCAATGGTATTTAATTCAGATTCTTGCCTTGATTTCTTCATAGATTCACGGAGTTTCTCAGTTAACTCTTCCTAAAATATTGAATTAAATTACTACGTTGTACAAGGGTACTATATCTTAGAAAATGTATTATAATAATTCATTCAAAGGAATACACATGATACCTTTCGAGATTTTAATTGGGACATCTGCTTTTCATCCCACCTCTTAGCTTTCCTTGCCAAATCCAAAGAGCCTCCAGAGATAATTCCAGATTTCTGATAGAAAGTACCATCAAGGGCCACAGCCTACAAGAACAAAAGAGTATTATGAAAAAACAGAAGACAGAGCAAAATGTTAATACCTTTGTGACAAAAATAACAAGAGGGTGCATACATCATATCGATGGTGAGGTTCTATTTCATAAGCCACTTTCATAGCGTCTTCTGGTGTATCACATACAAGAGCATTATTTGTGGCAAACAAAACAGCCCGCTTAATCTCAAGTGGTTGATAATGCAAAACATCAAATAAGAGACGAACATTTTTAGGTTCTTTGATGTTTCTTAGACGTTCTTTTAAAGGTTTCGCCTGAAGAAATAAGACAGATAATATTACCACCCATATCTCATTTTCACTACTCATACATCAGTTAAGATGGTCAAACAAACCTGAATGTAGTCAAGAGGTAGAAAAGTTTCTGGTTCCAACATCTGTTCTTTTAGATATTGAATACACTGACGAGCTGTTTTTTCAGTATCCACAACAATTGCTTCCATATATTTACCAAGTACCTTGGTGATAGCCATGTTGAATTTTTTGTGTATTGGTTCACACATATTGATCATGCGGTCAAACTGCTCATAAGAATGAGGATATTAGATCACATAGATTATAAAGACCACGTAGGCAGAAAAATACTGAGAATAATATTTACCACTCCAGGAAAGAGACGTTTGAAGTTTTCAACAATTTCTTGCTTCTTTTTTCTACGACTATCCTCATGTTTGTCAACACGTGCATCTCCTAACTGCTCTGTAATTTGTTCCAGTTCCTTCTGAATCGACTGAACTTGTTCTTTGCTCGAACCAACATCAGATGTTAATGCTGTTCTCAATGCAAGCTGTTCCTCTAGTGCTTTTTCACTCACACTGGAAAACAAAACATTTCGGAGATAAATAGGCAAGGTACATAAATGTGAGAGTAATCAGTTTATGAGTAAAGAACTGATTGGAAATAAAACAAAATAATTTTTATTTTGAAATCCACTTACCGAATATGCTCAGAAAGTTTCTGGCTTCTTTTCAGAGCTTCATCCTTCTCGTGGCCTTTCTGTCTCATTTTGTTCTCTATTTCAGAACGCTTCCGTCCTTCATTGTCCAGACGATCTTGGTCAGATTTCTGCTCTCTGTTCACTGAGTCCAACTGCTGTAGACACATCGCTGAACGTTTCCCTGCTTCTTCCTTTAGCCGGTTGTACTCTTGAACCTGGAGCAAATTGATCATAAAGCACAGGTGGAAAAAATTGTTAAGAATATAAATGTAAAAATACAGATTCAATGTAAAATATACCTGGTTTTCCTCCAAATGGACATCACGGCCCTGGCTTTGGCTCTCTCCTGCAATCTGCTCTTCATACTCAAGCCGCTTAGCTTCTACAGCCTCCATTTCTTGCTGAAGAACACGGATGTCTTCTTCATGGGCATCATGAGCCTTTTGAGCCTGGGACAGCGATTTGTGGGCACTTTCAAGCTTCTTTTTAACATGAGCAACTCTCTCTTTTGCTTTGATAAATGTTGGGCGCTTGCGATTCATTTCAACTTCCTAATTTTTAATTAGAAACAAAATCCACATTAATATACACTAATTTGATTTAATTAAACCGACACATATGCTCAAAATGAAAGCTACTAACGTTTTCTCGAATCTCTTGTTCAATTTTAGCATACTCCCGAGACGCCTTCCCACTTTCTTTCTTCTTTTCTTTTAAAATTTCTTCAGCTTTTTCTTTTTTCTTCTCTATTTTCTCTATCTCTGTTTGCTTTCGGCGAAATTCATCCTCAAGTCTCTCAATTTCTTTTTGATTGTGGAATAGACGGAAAAGTTGCAATTCAACTTGTTTGTCAGCCTGAAAAATATAATAGGATGAGTACAAAAGTTAAATAATTCTTTACCAGAAGATGTAGCACTAAAAGGAACCCACCAGATCATCTTTCAAGCGCTGGTATTTTTCAGCTTCTTCTTTCTCAAGTTTGGCTTCCTTCCTCTCAGCAGCTATACCTTTTTTCTTCTGGTAAGTAAACTGAGTTTCTTCCTCAGCTTTCAGCATTTCAGATTTAAGCTTCTCATACTCATCCTTCAAATTGCCAGAGCTAGAACAATTAAAAAGTTTGTAGCCAAATCCATCTATCAAATAGATGTAGTAATCTTATAAATTAGCTAGATGGACGATTCAACATACCCACTAATTTCTTCAAACAAAATTGTTCTTTCTTTGGGATTTTTCATAGCAATAGATTCAACAGCACCTTGGAACACCAGAAAATTTTTGGCTTTTGCATTGATGCCTAATTTTTCAAGTTCCTGAAGGTATACATTGCTTGATACTGGCTGAAAGTGAACACGTTCTTTAGACATACAGCAATTACCATCCATCTCACCATGCAAGTATAAAAAATAAAATTACCTCGCGGTTGAAACGATGTTCCGATGATGAACCTTGCACGGTTCTTGTAAAGTGTCTTTCAGAACCATCCTCCATGCGAAAAATTGCAGTAACTGAAGCCCTGTAAGATAAGATAATTAGAATTAATAAATAGCTTTAAAATAAGGGGAAAAGATTTAGGTTTTTGACAACCAGTGGGAAGAAATTACCTGCTTGCAATTGGATTTCCAACAGAAGCTCCATGAATGAGATCACTTAAACGCTTGACTCGAAGACTTGAAGTTTTTTCTCCCATGACAAATGAAATTGCATCCATGAAATTCGATTTCCCTGTAGACAGTTATAAAATAAGATTAGAGTACAAAAACACTTTTAAGTAAACCTAACCTCACTTGTCAGATGCATTACAAATGCATTTTAACGTTTATTGATGGCATGTAAGGTGAAATCTTTAACATGTTTCACAATAGGTTATTGATAGAATATTTTTTTTATTTTAATACAGAACAGATATATAACTATTTGTAGATAAAACAAGCAACTTTGCCGACCTGAGCCATTGGGGCCGATTACAGCGGTGAACGGCTTCAATGGTCCAATCATCTGCTTTCCTCTGTAGGACTTGAAGTTTTCGACCTCAATACAATGCAGTACGGCCCTCATTTTCAATAAATTAAAACCACTTCTCCTCAGAAACACAATATAATTTGTTTAAATTTCCATCTGACGCGGGGTATTTTCACTTTGCTCCACAACAAACAGAAAATAAACATTCGATCATCGAAATGGTCAGAGCAGCCAACCAGCGCATATGGCGGGAGTGCTTTTTCAACAGAAATAAAGAAATGTAATATTATTACAAAGACCATTAAATTATTTTCCTTAAATTAAATAATTTTCTTTCAATACGTTGGATTTCTGAAGACAGTTTTCAGTTTTGTTCAGGACTGAGTTCAGGGTGGGGCTGGTGCCCCTGACCAGCGTCATTCATTTAGGCGGTCTCTGTGGAAATGGAGCCGGGTGGTTAGGAGTTTGTCTGCATTCCAAGACAAATCCCAGCAAAATATTTCCCGTCGGCGTCAACACTCCACCATGCCAGGTAGTAGTGCGGTTCGGTAGTTGGAGTTAGTTTCTTTAGCGGCTGGATACGACTGAACGTCCCCGCCCTTGCCCATCCCAGGAAGGGACGAGTGCGACGCCCTGAACGACCTGCTCATCCAGCACCTGGCGTCCACCCTCCCCGAGGCTGGTGAGTCTGAACAAGCACCAGCAGCTGCAGCTGGTCACGCCTGATCACGGCCTCCCGCCCGCCCAGGGCAGCGGCAGCACGCGCTGGCGTGGGCGAGCCGGCTGCGCGAGGAGGGCCGCGCGGCGAGCCTGCGGCTGCTGCTCGAGGCCTTGCTGGAGGCCGCCGCCTCGGGCCGCGCTATGGACCAGCCCTTCGCGGCGCCCGTGCCCTCCGACGGGGAGCTGCCGTCCCTACGCGACCTGACGGTAGGCAGCTGCTGTGACACCGTGGTGCCCAGAGCCCCGCGTCGTTTGTATATACCTGAACCACGGCCTCTTCGTTGCCAGGGGGCCCCGGGGGTCCCGGGGCGCCCGCGGCCGCTGCCGCCGCCAGACATGGGGTGGGCGCGGGACGTGGTGCGCGCGTTTGGCCGGCGCCCGCCACGCGCCCTGTTCATGGGGCTGCAGCCCAAGCCGCGGACCGGCGCCGCGTGCTACATGGGCGTGTTCGGGTCCTGAGCAGCGCCGCGGCTCGACGCCCCCGCGCGTCGCCGGCGCCGGATGGGCGGCCTGCCTCCCGGGCGCGCCCGCGCGGCTGCAGCGAGGGGGGTGGCCGCGACGCCGGCGTTGTCACGTAGCCGCCGGGCCACGCCGCGGCCGTCATTGCCCGTCAGGGCTACACCGACGCATGTTTACACGCGGCGTCCCTGCGCGCCCATCAGGGTCGCGACATTACAGGCGCTAAACAAGTCAGGACCATCCGCTCCACTAGTTTGATTTGTTTATCTGTTTGAGCCCGCGTGGCTCCCGTTGGCGGGGGCAGCAGGGGGCGCGGGACAGCCTCTTAATAGGTTTCTCGAACACTCCATAGCCAACAAGCCTACCCTCTTTCGAATCGTTCTCCTCACTCACGCGGAAACGCATGCCAAAAAAATGTTAGCGGCGGTTTAGAATGTTCACGGCAGGTGGCATACCCCCTACCTACCCCTCGCGCAGCCGGGCGACGCCGGGCGACGGGCGGGGCCGAACCGGTCCAGGACGCTGATTGGTGCATTGGCCCGACCCGCGAGCCCCGCGGCCGAGAGCAGAGCGAAGGCCTCATGCCCGACCCGCACATCGCTAGGCCTTACCCTGCATTGACCCCATCACCCGAATCCAATCGAATGCTCCCGAAGTGCCATGCCGCTTCATCTGAATTGGGTACCCGGCCGCTACTCGGCTCGGCGGCGGCTTGACGACTGTACGCGGGCGGCGCGGGACCCATCAGCGCAGCGGACCCAGCATCCCAGGCCAGAGGAGCAGAGCCAAGCAGTGTAAATAATATTAATGACTCGGACAAGCAGGGCGGGGCCTATCCGGTCCGGTAGTAACCGGTTCTCTGTGGTCTTCCCGGCGTCGCCAACGTCGCCAACTATCCGGTTCTGGACTCGAAGCCGCGCGCTGCGGCGGCGCCCGCACCAGCGCGCGCTTCTGCGACTCCAGGCCAATGCTTATCCTGCTCGTCTCAGCCCCGAGGTGCCAAACACGCTTTCCCCTCTCACTCCCCCCCCCCCTCATGCCACAGCCCGCATTTATCACCCTACTTTTGCGTGCGATCAATGCGATTGGATTTACAGTATACTTTTCTTCAATACTTTTCTTCATCCGGTACGATGAGGCGTCGCCAGTTTTGTCCAACCAGGTCACACGCCAACCCCCCCAACCCCCTCCGCTCCGAATGTACTCGAAGCTGCCCGCGCGGCCCGCTGCCGCTCCCGCTTTGCCGCACGACGCTGGCTGGCTGCTCTGTTGCTCTCCGCCCGCCCAGCGCCCCTGCGGTCGCAGCGTAGGCAGCCCGCCCAGTACCGCTGCGCCGGGGGCGGAGAGTTGCCTACCCGTAGGGCGCCCCGCCCGACTCGCTCCGTCAGTCCCGGGGCGTCCGCTGCGTCCGCTGCACCGGCAGAGGGGTTTGGTGCTGGCCTGGCGGCGACTGGGGCGGAAGGGGACGATGGCCTCGGTAAGGCCTGCAGTTTAATCAAGAATAACCCGACGCTGACACGCCCCTGCTCCCTCTTGAATCAGGCCGAATAAAACACCCAGATATACCTCTGCTAAAATGCTCGGCCTTTCGTCAATTTAGCCTCGACGACTCAGACGGACTGGGATTTCTTTCGATCCACGCCGCAGAGCACCGCCCGTGTGTCTATGTCTTTATCCAGGGACACCTTCACCCACCGTTAAGCTGCCGCGGCCGAGTGCGGCCGAGTGCGGCGCGGCCTTTCTGCGAGTGGCAATGCCTGATGACTGATTATTCAGGGAGTGAGGTTAACTTCCTCGGGAAGTGATTCCTGCCACCACTCACCGTTACCCGTCCCCTGACCGGGCGCGAATGCTGTACTCTGCGACCTCTTTCCTCGCCAATTACAAGTAGTCATAGGCGTAGACAAGCCCCAATTGCCCCGACCCGCCACCAACCAGGCTCTGCTGCCCGGCCTTAGTGTCCACTCAGAAGCCACCAAGGGACACTGTTGGAAACTGTCGTCAACCAGTGTCGCTGAAATTACCAGCATCGCATCGAGAACAATCGTCAGGGAGTCTCCAGTTTTCTTGAATATCAGCTACTTTTCTTTCAATTGTATTATTAAAATTCTGTTCGAAATATTTTTTTAAGTACTTGCTAACTTGTGTGTCTTGACCTGCACGTGCCACGCGTGAACGTTCTCGCCGCGCTTTGACCACTAAGTGACCTCTGGGTGTGCCGAGCAACGCCCAGCGAACATTTGGCAACAATAATTCGGCTAGTTTGTTATTTCGCATCATCATCACCTTTTCCTTCCTTTTTTTTTCGCCAGGCCCACATGCCCATAACATTGCACGAAGAATGGAGCCAAAGTGCTTGCCTCGTCAACCGCAACGTGAGTGTGTGTGTCTGTGTGAGTAAGCGGGTACCCGGTTGGCCACAGTAATTGGATCTAATTGTGAGTGCTGACGCAAGAACCGGGACGTTCCGATTCTGCCCACTCTTGCTCATCCCCGTCCGCTCTGCCTCTGTGTGTGTGTGTGTGTGTGTGTGTGTGTGTGTGTGTGTGTGTGTGTGTGTTGATGTGCGCTGCGCGCGGCGTTGGACACAATCATATTCCATTCAGCAGTAGCCCGAGTTCACACGGACTTGTGCACCACGGACGGCCACTCTTGTCACCATCCGCGCCAACTTACCATGCATTTCGCACTTTTGGTGTGTGCCCGGTGCCGCGCTACCGGAGGGAGGACGAAGAAACAAACAAAACCAAAAAAACACCCCCCCCCCCACCAAAAAAAAAAAACAGGGCAAGACAGCCGTAAAGGAATAAGTAGTGTCAGTTTTGGCAATTGGCCTCTTTCAGCCTTCCTTCATGTTGCTCCCCGTAATGTAATGTGCGTTCGTGTCAACATGTTGTCTCCCTCCTCGGCCGTACGAGGCGGGGGGCCTCGCCCTTCTCCCGAGGGTTGCCGACGCCGCCGGCTGACGCGCAGACGGAGAGCACACACCCCGACCCCGCCCCGCGCGCGCGCAGCCATTCATTGGTTCCTGGAGCAGTTCGATTGATTTGATTCGACGCCGTTCGGTTCGGATATTGCCTGTGAGTCACGACGACAACGACGACGGCCAGCGACGCAAGCGTGTTGTCCTAGCGCGCGTGCGTCCCTCCGTCGTGCCGGTCGGCGTCAAACTGCTGCTGCTGCTGCTGCTGCTGCTGCTCGCCGATGACGACCACCTCCAATCACAACAGAAAACAGAAAAACCCTCTCCCGTGACTCCCCGAGCTACGCGCGCGCGCACACACACACGGACTTTTATTTTTATTTTCAGCCGGTTTTTCAGAACAGCTGCCTATCTCTCAATTTGGCTCGCGGCGCGGCAGACGTGCGTGCGGTAGAACACATCGCGCGCGCGCGCGCGGCGCGGGGCGTCGTGTGACGTCACGGGGAGACGAAGAGGAGGATAAGGAGAAATAACTGCATTTGCAAGGAAAGGCAAGCGGGGACGGCGCGGCTCTGCACTGCACTGATTCACCGACGAGACACGCTGTAATGCATTATGCGCGTGACGCGCGGCGCCAGGCTGGGCTTCCCTCCGGCAGGGCGGCTCGGCAGGGCGGCAGCTGCTTCTGCTGCTCCTTCACCCAGAAAACGAAGCAATTGGTGATTTTAGAATTTTCAGAGACAGTGTACCGGACCGGGTGATTCTTATTTGAATGTGCTATCCAGTGTTTTTGAACTTATGTGCCATTTCAATAATTTGCTCTTAAAAATATGAAAATGCACAGTTCGTTGTTGTTTTTTTTGTGTTTTTTTATGAGTTGGCATTTGTAAGATTTTAGCCCGATTGATCGCACCTACCAGTTGGGCCGTGGCATAGCGTTGGGGGGGGGGGGGGCGAGGGGGCACGTCCTAGGGCCGGTTGAGATTGAGAGTTCGTAAAGCGTGAGACGACTGCTTTGCGCCGGCGAAATATTGGCATTGACATTGACTGATGATGATGATGATGGTGGGCAAAATAAATCTTTGCCTTTCGCCATCTCCGCGCGCACTGCGGGGCG